TGAGGGACACTGGGACGGGCCCTGGGAACCTGGCGGGGGTGAGGAGGACAACACAACACCTGCTAACTGATGGTGAGGAGGACAAACAGCCACTCATAGATGGTGAGGACAACACAACACCCACAAACTGATGGTGAGGAGGACAACACAACAACCACTGATGTTGAGGAGGACAACACAACAACCACTGATGCTGAGGAGGACAGCACAACACCCACACATAGGTGGTGAGGACAACACAACACCCACAAACTGATGGTGAGGAGGACAGCACAACACCCATTAACTGATTGCGAGGAGGACAAACACCCGCAAAAAGATGGTGAAGAGGACAACACAACACCCACTAACAGGTGGTGAGGAGGGCAACACCCACTCATAGATGGTGAGGACAACACAACACCCAGTAACTTATGGTGAGGAGAACACAACACCCACTAAAAGACGGTGAGGAGGACAACACGACATGCACTCACAGGTGGTGAGGAGGTCAAACACCCACTAACTGGTGGTGAGGAGTACAACATCCACTTATAGGTGGTGAAGAGGATAGCACAACACCCACTAACTGATGTTGAGGACAACAACACAACACCCACTAATAGATGGTGAGGACAACACAACACTCACTAACTGATGGTGAGGACAACACAACACCCAATCATAGATGGTGAAGAGGACAACACCCACTCATAGATGGTGAGGAGTACAACATCCACTCATAAGTGGTGAGGAGGACAACACAACAACCACTGATGGTGAGGAGGACAGCACAACACCGACTCATAGGTGGTGAGGAGGACAATACCCACTAATAGATGGTGAGCAGGTCCAGCTGGCTGTGCATGTGCACAGGGAAGGTCTCCCGCAGGTGGCTCAGCTTCTCCAGGGCCTCGTAGATGAAGATGATGCAGATGAGGGAGGCGAAAGCCTCCTCGGTGAAGCGGGTGATGTAGCACACCAGGCAGCTGGCGTCCGTGGCCACCAGCAGCACGCAGAAGAACGCGGTCCAGAGCCCGATGCACGTCCGCAGGGACAGGTAGGAGAGCGTGTAGTCCCTGGAAAAACACAAATCCTCCTGGGGGAAAGGCCAGCACAGGTCTTGGAGCCGAGCCTTCCTCCGGGGAAAATGGGGAGCAATTTGAGGAGGCTGCAGGGGGTGACGGAGGTTTCCACGCCCCTGAGGGTGTGTGAAGAAGCCAAGTGTTTAATTAGCAGTAATTAATGTTGCCTCAACCCCTTGAGGTTGTGGAAGGTTCCCCCATGTCCCCCAGAGCCCTGACACCAAAACTGACACCAAAAGCTGGGTTTGTCCCCATCACCCACCAGGGACTTGGGGCTTAATGAAATGTTTAATTGCAGCAAGCGGGGTTCATCTCACACCAAAGCCACCAGGATGAAAGGACTGTCACACAAAAGAGCGATTTTCCAGGAAAAGCTCCTACTTGTTCAATAAAATCCCCAAAACTCAGAATAATCCAATCGAAAATTACTTGGATATTTGGGTGAAAACTATTTCCACGTCCAGCAAAAATCAGGTTAAAGACTTTTGTGCTCAGTGGAAAACAAACCCTCCGTCATTCCCAAACCTGAACGATTTGTCTCGCCTTCCTTGGGCATCCAGAGCCTCTTCACACCACTTCATTTTAACCCCAAAAACCCAAAACAACTCCAAACCAAAAACCCCAAATGACCCCAAGCCCAAGGACTCTCACCCCTCTGTGACCCAGCAAACAGCTTCAATCTGACAGCTCCCACTGAGAAAATGAGAAGTTTCTTCTCCACCCCTCCAAAAAAGAGAAAAACATCTTCCTCTCCCAAAAAAAAATAGATGAGAAACATCTCACTTGCAGAATTTGTAGAGAATCTTCTCAAAGACCAAGACGGGCCCAGTGCTGCCGAGAATGGTGAGGGGCTGGCCAGCGAAGAGGGAATAAACCAC